ACCAGGATGGTCTCGATCTCTTGACCTCGTGATCCACCCGCCTCAGTCTCCCAAAGTGCTGGGATTACAGGCGTGAGCCACCGTGCCCGGCGCCTCCCAGGTTTAAGCAGTTCTCCTGCCTCAGCCTCCTGGGTAGCTGGGATTACAGGTGCCTGCCACCACACCTGGCTAATTTTTGTATTTTTGGTAGAGAGGGGGCTTCGCCATGTTGGCCAGGCTGGTCTCGAACTCCTGACCTCATGATCCGCCCACCTCAGCCTTCCAAAGTGCTAGCATTACAGGTGTGAGCCAACCCCTCCTTAGCTGATTTTTTGTATTTTTACAAAAAGTAGTAGAGACGAGCTTTTGCTGTGTTGGCCAGGCTGGTCTCAATATCCTGGCCTCAAGTGATCTGGCTGCCTTGGCCTCTCAAAGTGCTGGGATTACAGACATCAGTCACTATGACTGGCCCTCTTTTTGATTTTTTTTTTTTTTTTTGAGCCAGAGTCTGCCTTTATCACCCAGCCTGGAACGCAGTGGCACAATCTCACTGCAACCTCTACCTCCTGGGTTCAAGCGATTTTCCTGCCTTGGTCTCCTTAGCAGCTGGGATTACAGGCACTCACCATCACACCCCGCTAGTTTTTGTATTTTTAGTGTAGATGGGGTTTCACCATGTTGGCCAGGCTGGTCTTGAACTCCTGACCTCAAGTGATCTGCCCACTACTTCCTCCCAAAGTACTTGGATTATAGGCATGAGTCACTGCACCAATTTTAGTATATGTGCTGCCAAAGCAAGCACTTTTATATATGTGCATACACACATATATACACACACGTGTGAGTATGTGTGTGTGTATGTGAGAGAGAGAGAGAGAGACAGAGAGACAGAAAGAGACAGTCTCCCTCTGTCGCCCAAGCTGGAGTACAATGGCATGATCTTGGCTCACTGCAACCTCTGCCTCCTGGGCTTGAGTGATCCTCCCATCTCAGCCTCCCAAGTAGTTGGAACTACGAGTAGGCCACTGTGCCCAGCAAATTTTTGTTTTTTGGAAGAGACAGGGCTTCACCATGTTGCCCAGGGTGGTCTTGAATTCCTAGGTTCAAGCAATCCACCTGCCTTGGCCTCCCAACATGCTGAGATTACAGGTGTGAGCTACCATATCCGGGCATCTTTTTTATTAATCTGACACCAGTAGTTGCCAATGCATGCCTCCACCATAACCTGTATTTACCACCCAGAACTGATACCTTTTCACTCACAAAAAGAGGGTCTTAGTTTTAGCTAGCCTATGAAGACCCCTGGGCAATTTCCATCAGGCATTTTGAAAAACTGAAGTTTGTTTGTTGATGATCAGAAAGTTCAAGCTGGGGAGACCAGCAAGGCTCAAACTGAGAAATTTCAACCAAGGCTCCTAGCAAATGGAGCAACGCACAGCTGCCCTGTTTGTTTCCCACCATGTGAATTCTCTAGTATGTCCTTGTCTGACTATTGGGTGATGGTAACTCACCTTCACCAAATGACAAAGTGATTTCATTGCTAGTCAGCAACATCAGATAACTCAGTTTTTCAAATGACCAGTGATACTTTTTTTTTTTTTTTTAAGAGATGGGGTTTCAAAAATAAAAAAGTTAAAAAAAAAAGGCCAGGCATGGTGTCTCACACCTGTTATCCCAGCACTTTGGGAGGCGAGATGGGTGGATCATCTGAGGTCAGGAGTTCGAGACCAGCCTGGCCAACATGTGACACCCCATCTCTATTTAAAAAAAAAAAAATAGAGATGGGGTTTCACTATGTTGGCCAAGCTGGTCTCGAACTCCTGACCTTGTGATCCGCCTGCCTCGGTCTCCCAAAGTGCTGGGATTACAGGCGTGTGTCACCGCGCCCAGCCTATGAGCAGTGATACTAACACCACCTCACAGAAGGGTGCTGTGATCTTAGCCATTGTGGTCTAAACAAACACCTGTGTGCACGTGCACAAGTGAGAGGGAGAGAGAAGAGGCAGGAAGCACAGTTCTTACCAATTCACTGGTTTATTTGTCCAAAATAAATACAATCTGAGAACACCCATTTCAATGTCCCCAAACACTATTCATCCCCTGAAAAAGCAGCTTAAAATATAGGTGCACATTTTGCAGCTTATGTTCTCAGGTTAGGCTCGGAAGGGTGTTTGCTCTGGGCTGGGCTGGGCTGGGCTGGGCTGGGCCTACCTGTGGAGATGCACCTAAGTTCCATTCTCTGTTTGGAGGCTGTATCCAGCCTGAGTGCTCCCCAGGTCCCCTCCAAGAGAGGCGTGATTCTACTTCTGGAGCACTCGTTTTCACTACCTCTCCCTTCTGCAGCCTAAAAGGAGGGGTGTTCAGGACTCTGCAGCTCTGTGTCCAGCCCTTACAGAGAGCTTTGTCCTCTGACACCAGCTACCACACAGGCTCATTCTCAACTGGCACAGAAAGGGTTACTTCTGACCCTGAAGCAGCTCACCCAGGGAAAAGAGAGAGAAACTGAAACACAGCTGGCACATGGGTGGAAAGCACTCTCCATTTAACCCTGCCAGGAAGCTGAGAGCCCCTAAAAAATACAGAAGGGGACACTGGCTGCCTCCTCCGGTTACTCCCTGGGGCCCTGGCCCACTAGGGAGCAGGAGGTCGGGGAAGCCACCCTTTGTCTTCTCTTTGCAGGTGAGGCTCAGAGGTTTGGGTCCACGTTCTCCTGGTCTGAGGCTGCCTCGTCACCATCTGGGGACTCCTGGATCAGAGCCAGAGAAGCCCAGTCATGGGCTTGTGCTATTCTCCAGGGCCACAGCCTCGGGGCCAGCATCTCTTTCCTTTTGCCCTCAACCTCAAAGGAGCCAGCAGAGGGCTCCCCTGCCCCCACCCCAGGTCCCACTGGGCCCTCCCTCTGTCCTTGTTCCCAGCCAGCCCATGGTCACAGAGCTTAAATCAGATGACTCCCTCTCACCAGACTGAGGCCCCTGCCTCGCTGCAGGGTGGCATAGAAGTGCAGCACACGGGGGTCACAGCGAACCGCCATGGGGTCAAAGTCCAGCACACGTAGGCCCTGCAGGCTGCGGGCCCGGGAAAGTGCCACGTAGGCCTGGCCACTGGCAAACACTCGGCCCAGAGAAATCTCCACACAATCCAGGGTCATGCCCTGGGGGATGCAGAGACAAATGGAGCCAGCTCAGCCTGAAGTCCCTTGCCCCATAGGGCCTGACCCCCTGTTTTTTTTTTTGAGATGGAGTGGCTCTGTTATCCAGGCTGGAGTGCAGTGGCGCCATCTCAGCTCACTATAACCTCTACCTGCCAGGTGCAAGTGATTCCTGCCTCAGCTTCCCAAGCACAATAGCTGGGACTACAGGCGGTCATCACCATACCCAGCTAATTTTTGTGTTTTTAGTAGAGATGGAGTTTCACCACGTTGGCCAGAATCCCAGCCAGGCCTGACCGTTTACCAGCCCTGCTCCTGCCCCTGTATCTCCTAGTCCAGAGAGTCTCTAGACAGAGGGAGAGCATGACAGCAGGTGACTGTCTGAGTAGGAGGGGACCAGGAGACATAGATCCAGGTAAGAGTTGAAGGAAAGAGCTCAGGCTCTGAGTCAGACAGGTGTGGAGCTGGATCCAGGCTGCCATTCACTAACTGTGTGACCTGGGACATGTTCCCTTAACCTCTCTAAGCCCTGATTTATTTCTGTGCAAAATAGGATTGATTCTTCATTATATCTATACTTTATACAATGGTTGTATACAATTTATACAATCTAACTTATCTAGTAGTGGCTTAGAAAATGGTAGGGGAGGAGTTGGCAGAGGTGAAATGAATGTGTCCAGGAAAGGGAGAGGAGGTAGGCTGGGAAACTCACTAAAAAAAGGTTTATTCTGGGCTGGGTGCAATGGGTCACACCTGTAATCCCAGCACTTTGGGAGGCTGAGGCGGGTGGATCATGAGGTCAGGAGATCAAGACCATCCTGGCCAACATGGTGAAACCCCGTGTCTACTAAAAATACAAGAAATGAGCTGGGCATGGTGGCATGTGCCTATAGTCCCAGCTACTCAGGAGGCTGAGACAGGGGAATCGCTTGAAACCAGGAGGTGGAGGTTGAAATGAGCTGAGATTGTGCCACTGCACTTTAGCCTGGGTGACAGAGCAAGACTCTGTCTCAAAAGAAAAAAAAAAAAAAGACACATAGGCCCCAATTTGCCTGTCCTCCCTCTGCCCGCCCTGTCCCCACCCCCTATACCAGTGCTCACTTGGCTCTTGTGGATGGACATCGCCCAAGCCAGCTGGAGGGGCAGCTGCTGCCGGCTAAGGAGCTGGCTCCCGGTGACCTGAACTGTCCAGCGGTCAGCACGGATGACCTCAGTGACTCCACACAGGAACCGCACCTGGGGTAGGCCTAAGGAGGGCACAGAGCAGTCTGACTTCAGCTCTGCTTCAGGGCTCCGAGGTGAGGAGCAGGGCCCTTTGGAGCTTTCCTTCCTAACCTTTTTCTCCCTTACCATTCCCCAGGGCCATGCTGCAAAGCCCCACAGTTGGACTGCCACTTCCTCCCAACACTTACCTCTCCCTTCAGCCTCAAACCCGACTACCACCCCTCGGGCACCATTCACCAGACCCCGAGACACCGATAAATTTTTCACCAGCATCACCTGCAAGGGAGAGAGAGGAATGGACAGCAGCCCACCTACCCATGCCTCGCCTTAGCTTAGACATCGCTGTTCTGAGGCTGAGGGCAGGGAGCTGTCAGGGGGACACTGGATCCCAATCTTTAGCTCTGCCACTGGCTGCCTGTGACCCCTGGGACAAGTTGCCTTATCTTCCTCGGTCCCAATTTTCCCTTATGTCAAAGAGGAATAACATTTGCTCAATTTGCCTCAGAAGGAGGTGGTAAGGGATCAATAAGGCAACATCTATCATAGGGCTTTGAAAACGATCAGCTCTGTTATAGGTACATCTGTGGACCACAAATCTTGAGGGATGGGCTCTAGGTCTTGCCACCCCTCTCAGATATGCTGTGCTTCCATTTTCCCTTTGGGTGCCCTTTGGCACCTACAGGAAATCTTCTACCCACCTCCAACATTGTGGGAAGAATCAGGACTCTCTACCACCTATGAAGTATACCACAGAAGACAGCTGTGTGGGGTAGGTATTTCATTCCCATGGTTAGGGATGAGGGGACAGAGCTTCAGCAAGGGAAAGAAACTTGCCCAAAGTAACACTGCTTGGAGGACCTCCAGGTGTAGGAAGAGGAGAACAATGGAAAGCTGAAGATGGGAAGGCGGGTGGGAACAGGAGGGAGGGAGGTTTTCTTTTCTTTTTTTTTTTTTTTT